GTAGGACTGGTTATCCTGAGTGAGATTGTTAGGATTAGTCAAGCCGGATCTCTGAAAGATATCCTGGATATGTTGATCAGTACAGGCCCCTGTCTAAGGTGTCACCTGCCTTCACTCTAAGTCAGCTGGGATAGACTCCAAACCCCCGTGACCCTAGTGAGGATTAAGCGGTGTGTAGATAATGGATGGATGGATGTACCAGGTAGCCTCTTCAGTGAATGTTGTTTGTCGACCTTTGTAAAATGTCTTTACAGACACAGACTGGTCCTAGTACAAGGATCTCCAGGGTGAAAGAGGATAAACTTTACATTTTGTGAACTATTCAGAGTTAGATAAACCACTCTCATATCTCCATGGAACAAACTGGTTCTAAGTGTCTGCAAATGATCACAGTTGCCAAAATGTTGAACTTATAGTTTCGTGTGTTCTGTACTTTGTGTTACTTTGGTATTTCTTTGCAGAAGGGAAAAAGTATTAAATGTCTAAAGCAGCTCAAATATTTTTACAGCAAAGCAGATTCAATTTCTTTTTTCTTTTTGCCAAACAGTTACATACATAAAGTTTTTTTTTACTCCTGGCAGTGGTGTAAGCACATAAAGCCCAGGTTGAGCTCAAGGTGACCTGCTTATTCTGAGTCTTAACAGCATTAGGTGGCTTTAACTGATTCAAACATGTCATAATCTTGTTTCTATATCTATCCAAACAAGCATATCTGTATAATCCTAAACTTATCTGGGAGTTATTTAGGTTCTGGTTTCATGTTTTTCTTACCGGTGATTTGACATCCAGCAGGAGGGAAAGGCAGAACTGCTCAGAAAGTATCGTGTGTGATTTTGTTTTGTGTTCTCCCATTTTTCACTTCTTCCCAAACAGCCAACAACACGTGCTTCTTTGCCAAGTGCCTGTATGTGTGTAAGACTGAGTATGCAGTGTGCGGCAGCCCCGACCTGCTGGAGGGATCACTGTCGGCCTACCTGCCCGGCCTCAGCATCGCTCCCCGCATCTCCATCCCCAACCCCTGGACACGCTCCTACACCTTTACCGGACGAGAAGAGTAAGACGTCAACCTCCTTCACTCGAGAGGAGTTACATGTTTATTTTATAGTACAATACTTTTGCACGTTTTCTGTGTAGCTCAGCCGGAAGATTATGACACCAGAACTAACAGGGCTATGTTTTTAGCTGACACTGAGACCACCTAAAAATACATGTACAGGATATAAGAATGAGAAAAAATTCATATATAACCTTTCAAAACACAGAAACGGATTCAAATTCAACCAAGATTAAGCAAAGTAACCGTCATAAATACTCAAATCACAAAGGGAGGATAATGATAAAGGGATTTTAAAGTCCTGATCCACTCAGATGGATCCTTCCATCGGAGCCCGGACCTCAGAAAAACCAAAAGTTATGCATTTCGTGGATCTCTTGTAGCAAGATAGAGCAATAAGAGATCAGATAAGTAATTCAGGGTGAGACCATTCAGGCCAGCAACAATTTGAAAGCAATACTAAGGCAACAAGTGGCCTCTCTAATGACTAGATGCTAATGCTAAGATCAGTGAATGTGCTGTTTTTTATAACCTGGGTCAAAATCAGAGCTATAGATGAGCTTGTTTTTTGCTGATTCCAGAGATTGAGGCATTACAGGAGTCTAATCGAGCAGTTTGGAAATTTTTAGTTGAAACAAACTGTCTGATACGATGAATGCAGGACCGGATGTTTCCACTATCTTGACCAAGCATCAATATCTTTGTTCCATTCATATTTAGGTGCACAAACTTTTGTCCTGAAGGCAGTTTAGCAGCTTGAAAGTGTTGCTTGCAGGCTCACAGCTCAAGTGAATCGTCACATGCAGACATGTTTTCACTTCACTCAGCTTCACTCTGATGATAAGGTGACCAAGAGAGGAAATGTAGATGATGTTGGCCAGGATGTATCTGGTGCTAAAAAAAAATGTCTTCACCATGTTGTTTAGATAAAGGTGCAGCATGAATGTGACATAAATCCTGCTGATACTGAACTGGATGTTGCTGAAATGGTTTTCCATTTTGGGACAAAAGAGTTGTTCTTTAACTTTTTCTTTCTTTTTAACTCCACCAGTCAGTTTGCAGCAAAGGAATGAAAATTACTTCCCTTTCTGCACCATAAATAACTGAGAAGTTTTCTCATGAAATCAGCGACACAATGCAGTGCAGAGGCCGTCTGTAGTTGGGTTGCATCAGCTTAGTAATGTATCACAATTAAAATGAATGTGGGGATTATTTACTGGCTTTCACAATACTCACAGAACAATTGACCAAGTATTGCACAAAAATACTTGTAATAAACCTAAGGAGCGAATATAGACAGGTCTATTAAATGAGATTTTTAGTCACTAATTTCCTCTTGTTATTTTCAAAGGTGGGAAGTGAATCCATTCTACTGCGACACCGTGAAGCAGCTGTACCCCTATAACTCAGGCAACAGGCTCCTCAACATCATAGACATGTCCATCTTCGACTTTCTGATCGGTATGTTGTTCCACCACATTATCAGCTGTTAATGTCACATCCAACAATCTGTCTTCAGATTTCGCTAAAGAAAAGCTTCTGTTCCAGGCAACATGGACAGACATCACTATGAGATTTTTACCAAATTCGGGGACGAAGGATTCCTGCTTCACCTGGACAACGCCAGAGGGTGAGACCAAAACGCTGTGTCAGCTATATTGTTATGAAATGATGTGTTGAAATTTTTTAATCACGTTTGATGTCACGTTCTGTATCCAGGTTTGGGAAACACTCTCAGGATGAGATGTCCATCCTGGCTCCTCTGTCTCAGTGCTGCATGTGAGTATAACTCAGCCTGATGGAGTTCAACAGGTTGGTTGTGGAGTTAGATTTGACAGATTAGACCATAATTGCGCACGTACATAAAATGCTTTCTGGAAATCTGGAGCTATTTTAAACTTGGCAGTCATAATTGACCCCAGAAATTCACAGTTTTCCTTCTAAATAGTTATTAAGGGAGAGGCATTTAGAAAATAACAATGTAATAAACTTTATTTTTATGGCGTCCTTTGAAAGCTGCAAGGTGCTTTACAAAAAAAGAAACAATACAACATTAAAAAAGACAATAAAATGCTTTGGGTTTTTTTAAATCACAGCAGTAAAACATTAGAAAGAACACAATCAGATATAATGCCAAACTGCACAGGTGGGTTTTTAAAAGCTTTTTGCTGAGTCAGCTGTTTTGATCATGAGGGGGGGGGTTGCTCCACAGTGATGGAGTTTTAACAGTAAAAGCATCGTCCTGCTTTGTTTTTAAGCCTGAACCGTGGAACTTTTCATCCACACTGACTCTCTGATCTGAGCAGTCTAGGTGCAAAATAAGAGGTTCAGAGTTCTCAGAAGCAGAGTGGAGCCAAACCATGCAGAGATTTAAAAGTACCCATCAGGATCTGGATTCTGTAATGAATGAGGAGCCACTGTAATTCAACCAGGACTAATGAGTATTTCTGCATCGAGTGTTTGTGAACCGTCTTGCTGCTGCATTCTCAACCAAACTAAGTTAACCCTCTGAACTCCAAGCATCTTCTTTGCTCCTGTCACTGTGAGCTCATATTTAACTGCGACATAAAGTCCTGCACCTCTACGGAAACAACACAACCATTGACTAGAAGGAGAGAGACCTCAAAAATGTCTTCAGCGCAATACGACGAGTTATAATCCCATAAATAATGAAAAAGTTAGATTTCTTTGGTTGTTTGTTTTCCAAAATTGGGAAAAAAATAGAATAAACATGTGCAGCATTTTTCCATGTGCCCACAGGTATTACAAAAAACTGGAAAGACATGGGGGCTCCACAAACCATAGATGTTTTTCTACTTACATTTTTTATTTGTTTGCTTGCCTCCTCTCTGCTCTGGGTAAACACAGCCTGGAGTTCTCACGACCTCACTTGTGCTGAAGAGTGCAGAATTCTTTTTGTTTGTTTTTGACAGAATCTGCTTCGAGTAAACAGTTTATTTGTGGCAAATTTTAGAATGAGACACGTACAATAGAGCAAATTTGATTAAATATCATGATTGTAGGCTTAGATTTGGTTGTTTTTCCAGAACAGAACTACAAATAATACCTTCCAACAGAAAGCTGAAACTCTTTCTGTTTTTACTGTTTCTGATAAATGGTGTCATTTGGGTGATTTCTTACGTGCTTCAAACCCATTGGCGGGTTTAAGGGTTCAGAGGGTTAATAATCAAAAACACCACCTTGTGTTCATCATGTACTCAGCATCCTCCTCCTCCTCTTCCTCAGGATAAAGCGCTCCACGCTGCTGAGGCTGCAGATCCTGGCCCGATCAGAGTTCAGGCTTAGCGACGTGATGAGGGAGTCTCTGGAGGGAGACCCTTTACGTCCGGTCCTGACCGAGCCCCACCTCTCGGCGCTGGACCGCAGGTTACAGAAGGTCCTCCGAGTGGTCCAGCGCTGCGTCCGGAGGCTGGGCGAGGATGAAGTGATCACCAAGGACTTTATCAAAGCTACAGGGAAACCTCAGACGGCCACAGTGGGGGAAAGAGCCAGGTAACAGAGGATGAAACGGTCAGGGCTCTGCTTCGTTTGCTGCTTTTGGAGAAGACTTCATGATGGAGTGGAGAAGGCTCAGGTTTTAAGGAACAAGCTGTTATTAGAAATGCTGTGAAAACATCAGAGGAGGTCGTCAGAGAGTCAGAAAATCACTTCAGGTAGCTCAACCGTAGGTCATAAATTCACCCCAAGCTGCATTTTAAGACAGAACCTTCACTTTTCACCATGTGCACATAAGTCAGAGGTTCGTATATTTTACCTTGGAAGGAACAACTGAAGACCATTTTCAATCTGCAAATTAGCTGGAAGAGAACAATCTATACAGTCGTCCTCAAATCTATTCAACAGAAATATATAAAAAACTAAACTAAACAAAACAAGCAAACAAGCATGATGGGACCCGTAAACTAATATTTTGTTGAACAACCCTTTGAGCCAATCACTGCAATCAAGTGTTTTCTGTAACTACCACTCAGACTTCTGCACCTGTTGACAGGTGTTTTGGCCCACTGCTCATCAGCAAAGTGCTCTAATTTTATTTTATTTTTTAAAAATTATTCATTTCACCCACAATTCAAAAGCAATGTCTTATTCCACTAAATTATAATTTTGCAAATTTTTATTTATTATTACTTTTTTCAGTTTCTAGTTATTTGAGGGACTATTGTGAATTTTGCCTTTTCTTTAATAGAAGGGTATGAATACATGAGAGGACGACTGTACATGAAGCCACTGGTGCTCTCTTACTGTCAGATAAATTATCAACGGAGTCATTATTCATCAGAGAGCTGTGATGCACTGGATTGGTCACTGGTGTATGTTTTCACTGTGGAAAGAAAGATTTGTGTGGGTTTTAATTTTAAAATAAAGTTATTTTATGTGATGAGAAGAGAAATTATCACCTTAAACTAACAACAGTGTGTAGACGTCTGTGTGTGTGTGTGTGTGTGTGTGTGTGTGTGTGTGGAAAGTGCTACCTATTAAACAGCCATTTAGTTCACTCCACCCCGTTTTCCAGACTTATAATCCTGCGTCTCATCAGACTGTTTAGTTTTACGACATCACCGTCAGCTGAAACAGGCCGAGACACAGAAACAGACAAAGCAACTAGCAAATATGCATTTCATCACACCGCCGGTACAATTCAGAGCCGAGACAGGTTTCTGATGTTATAAATCTGTGTGTGTGTGTGTGTGTGTGTAGGTGTGTGTGTGTGTTTTCCTCTCAGAGTTTTGGCCCTTGTTATTTCCTTTGTTCTTTAAACCTGACGTGTTCCACGTCTCCCTGTGATGTAAAGCAAGATGAATAAGTGCAACTATTTTTAAGAGATCTTAAGAGATGGTGAATCACGCCAAGTGAGGTCAGACGTGAGCCTGACAAAGTGCACACAGAGGCCCCTTTTCATAAAATGTGCTCTTAAGTGCAGGTAAATACCTTCATACCAGAGAGTTTATGGTCTCTAAGAGCTGCCAGCAGGAATAAACACTCTCTAAAATGAGGTACTACAGGTGAAGAAATGAAGGAAGAAAATGAACTTTTCCACTTAAAACAAAAAAACAAAAGCAACAATTGTAAAACAGCAAATGCTGCTGTGTCACAGAGCCAAGTACAACTGCTAATAATCAAGTTTTGAAAATATTACCGCATGACAAAATGATCTAAGCCTCGTGTCATAAAAAGCCTCTTACGGGAAAAAGTGAGTGATAGTGTGTTATTAACTGGACGAATCATGTTTTTTTTTTAAAAAGTAGGTCACAAATGATGAATGAAAAGTTGTATTTTTAAAATTGGACTAGTAATGGATTAATTTATAACAGATTTTGTTTTGCAAGTGGACACAACTGATCAGGTTGGTACAGCAGCTCAATGTGTCCCCCTGGTGGGAAGATGTAGCGTTACAGCTTTTTGCTAAACATAGCTGCAAGAAAATGTTTGTGAATCCTTTGGAGCAACCAGGACTCCTGCACTGATTTCTCATAAACTGGGGTCTGATGTTCAAGTTAAAATTACAGGCGAGCGCAGTCTGTCTAATAACACACAGATTCTTTATGTCTTCATTGAAGATCTTAACTAATAAGGAGTAAAAACTCACAGTGCAGGCTGGAAAAAGTATGTAAACCTAACTGGAAGTGTAGCGATGCCTCTCCCTGTGAAGATGTGTTAGTGTGACCCATACTTTCATCACAACTGTCACAGGACCGTGAAGCTGGAACATTTCTGTGTTCATCATTCAGCAATTCGTTGCTACTCTCCCCAGGACTCCTGCAAAGGTCACACCAACACCACATTGTGCAAACCTGAAAGTGGTATAAAAAATTACCCCCCCAAAAAACAGAAAACTTCTCTACAACTTGCTAAAATTGTTGTTCATGTGTCCACTGTTTGAAACACTGAAACAGTGTGAGTTGAAGGACACAGTGAAGGGAAAAAAAAAACATTGTTGCACATTTCAAGTTTGCAAAAGAGCGCCTGGATGTTTCACAACACTTCTGGGCCAATGTTCTGTGGACTGATGAGACAAAAGTTTGGCAAAAACTCTATGTTTGGAGGGAAAAATGGCCCCGCACTCCAACATCAGACACGACGCCGCAGAGAGAGTGGAGGTTTCAGGCTGCTTCGCTACCTCCGAGCGTGGACGCTTTTGCAATCATTGAGGGAACGATGAAATCAAAATTGTATGAGGAAATTTTACAGGAGAATGTCAGGGCAGCAGTCCATGACCTGAAGCTTAGGAGAGGCCACGCGAAAGTGACTCACCAACGACGGAGCGGGATGAAAAAGAAGAAAATTGTTGTTTTGGAGCGGCCGAGTCAGAGTCCCCACGTAAACCCAATCAAGATGCTGTGGCGCGACCTGAAGATGGATGTTTAATCAGGACAGATGCTGATGAGCTGAAGCTGTTTTTGTTTTTTTAGGGGAGGCTCAGGCCAGAATTCCTCCTCATGAAAATATGTTACAGTAAACATGATGGAGGTTGTTGCTGCTGAAGGAGACCCTAACTTCAACGGTTCACTTATATGTTCTAGCCAGCACCGTGAGTTATATCACTCAGGAAACAAGCTAACAAACAGTTTCCCACCTTTAGAGACAAAGTCAGAATAGAGTTGAAACTAATTTTGATTGATTGACAGATTGAAAAAAAATATATCAGTCAAATATTTTGATAATCAAAAGTTTAAATATTTCAAACAGCTTGAATCAGATAAAACTGAATAAAACATAAATACAGAATTAGCCACGGCCTAAATATACAGCGAAAGAATATCAGCAAATCATCAGCATAGGCTTTTTTATTTTTTACTGCTTAAAAATGACTATTGGGCCCAAACATCCAGAACTGGTTGGATTCTATGTAAATAAATAAAATAATAAAAGGTGAAACAGGTGTTCTCCAGCTCAGCAAATTTGTAGAGCAGAAAAAGGGGGATTGGACAAGCTGCTTCATTCACAGCCTTTTATTGTGAAAACAGACCTCCACGTGTCTTGTCTGTTTACACAATAAAAGCTTGTGGACTCATCAAACTGCCCACTTTTCTACTCAAGCAAGTCTTCCAAATAAAATCCACTTAAACCGGTCAAACTAAAAGAGCAGCTTTAGTGTGAAAAGTCAAATACAAAACACTGACTAACGAGGAAAGAAAGACGCCTGAGACGAAGCGGAATTATTTTTTACTTTTTTATTGCTTAAACTGCCATCTGGAACAATCTATACCAAAAGGATAAACATCTTTGCACATACAGGAGGTCAAACTAAATACAGGGTAGAATAGAAAAAGAATGGTCCTCTGATGGCTCCGCAGCTCTCTGCGCTGCAGGCCGAACAAACTCACTGAAGGTCGGGCTAGCAGGAGTGACTGACTACTACTGTAAGCCCAGGTTAGGTAAGCTAAGGCAAACCGGGACGATTGCAGTGTGGCTAGAAACATTTTGGACTAAAACCGATGATGCAGCTATTTACATGAAAACTTGACAAAGGTGAAACCCTCGCCCCTAACGGAGTCACGTCCTGTGGATCGGGATAAACAGGATGTGTTGTTAATGGACACAAATCCACATGTCACCACATCCACAAGGATAACCTGAGGGTTAGGGGGGAACAGATGATCAGTTTAAGTGTAAGGAAACGTACACTCATATCCATTAAGAAAAAGGTCTTCTCACCAACCTGACTACCCTGCAATCGGCACCAAAATCAAACCTTTTTTTTTTTTTCTTTTTTTGTCTTTTAAGGGACGTACAAACATAGATCTCATTTCTAAGCGCATTACAAGTGCTCTGAATGAGACAACAACAGAAACATGACTGATCATTTCTGGTAACAGACAAGTGAGGCAGGAATGAAGAGTTAAGCCTATAATCCAGAAGTCAACATTGTGTGATTTTGGTAAAGATCTTTTTTTTAAAAAAAAAGAAAGAAAAAAAAACAAAAAAGAAAAAAAAAGAGAGAGAAAGAAAGAAAACATTTTATGCCATCTAAATAGTCATGAAGCAGTTAAGCGAGGGAGTAACAAACCAAATATCTGACAAAAGTTCCTGCTTCTGTACGAAGCTGCAGGCTTTTTAATACACACTTCCATTCATACCAGATCACTGGATGCCTAAAACATCATGCCAAGTAAGCATAGAGAACAGGTCACAAGCTACTCTGATGAAAAGACAGCCACCTTTTCAAATAGGCAATAAGCAATGACACTAGTTTGAAATAAATATCTGCTCGCTCTGCCCGTCAGCTCGCCCGCGTCAAGCTTTGATACATAAATACTTCAGATGTCCTGAAAATCCATCCAGCTTTTCTTTTTTTTTTTTTTCTTCACTTCAATAAACCTGCAATTAACCCTTTTGATCTATTTTAAAAACCCATGACATTTTACACAATACAATTACATACTGTTTTTGTCAGTTGACAAGAAGAAGCATTTATTTACTTTGTGGCACTGGACACCTAAAATAGAATTTATGGAAAAATAAGTGTTTACAAAAGACAGTTAAACATATTTTTTTTTTAAAGATCACCATCACTCCAAACCATAAGTTTATCATTTAGTCAATGATAATAATAGAACTATGATCATTTTAACTATACTATGATAACATTTTTGATTACAAACCATAGCAGAAGAGTGACCAAGTTATTTGGTATATACTAAATAAACTGAATACTGAAATACACTTAATACTCTTTTTTTTTTTTCTCCTTTCTTTTTATTTATATATTTTTTTTTCCTCAGAGTAGTCAAGGCAGTTCTTGTATGGTCGTTCTATCGAGTAAAAGGACAATAAGGGTGATAACTACCTCCCGCCGGAGCTCCGAATAGTCAGGGAACAGAACACGCACTGCATTTCCACGGCTATGCATCTTTGCGTTGTGACAATAATCAACATTTGGCACTAGCCTGGTAGCTGCACAATAAAAAAAAAAATCTTAAAGTTGTACAAGCTCTCTCAAACTAAGCAAAACAGACACGTCATTGTCTCATCATACCAATCGAAAGGTAACCGAAAAACAAAATGGGAGCATCATATTACAGCTGAAACCTAAGAACGGCTGCGGTTCGGATTCTTCCTGCCTTCTACAGTTTTCTAGGTTCTGCTCTACTCTGTGTATCTATTCAAGCTAACTGATGTCAAAAAGGAAACTCTGAAACGGGGGGAGTAAGCAGTCTTCTCTTCACTTCAATCTACAACAGAAATCTGTAACGAATTCACCAAAAGCGCCATGTAAAGTCTGATTGTCTGTCTCATCGGTCTGAGACCCTAAAGTCTTTCTCCTGCTCTGTGTTTAAAAAGAAAGCGTAACCAGCAAATACATATATAACGTAAGTAACATGTGATGTAACTGTGCCTACAAGGTAGCGTACAGCAGCTGGTACAAGCGCTGGTGAATGGCTAAAAGTCACCTCTGCGTGACGTGTGGTAACAACAAAATGATCTGTGCGTGGAAAACAAAGAAGGGAGGAGGGGGGGGGAGAAAAAAAAAAACAAGCCAACAGAAACAAAAAGAAAGTGACAAAAAGCAAATTGCATTGGTGGACCCTGGGTCTGAATAGAGAGAGGAAGGTGAAGGGTGTGGGGGGAGAGGAAGAGGATGAAGAGGGAGGCTCCCTCAGACGGACAGCGACACGAAGCTGTTGTACTGTTGGATGTTACGTTTGAGTATGTCTGAGCAGGGGCCCAGGACGCGCTCGAAGCGAGGCCGGTCGAGCTTGACGCACTTCAGGGGGCCGCGGGCCACCACGGTGGCAGCACGGGGGCGGTTCATCAGCAGAGCGATCTCACCTGGAAAACACAGAGGAACAATCTCACAGGGTTGGATCTCAGAAAACGAAATTCCCGGGCCGCCGCTGTAGCTCAACTGGTTGAGCTGCCGACCCATGTACAAGGCTGTAATCCCCAACGCAGCGGTCGTGGGTTTGAATCCTGCTCATGGCCCTTTGCTGCAATTCCTTCCCCCCATTCTCCTCCCCCACTTTAATGTCTCTCTCTAGACTGTCCTATATAATAAAGGCCAAAAAAAAACCAACCTTAGTGCCTGCAAAGATTTTTTATTCGCTATTCTGAAATAATGGATCCACTGGAACCCGATGACCTGAGCCCCTCATCTGGACCCGCACAGGTTCAGATGCACTCATTACAGAGTCAGCTGGACTCAGGTTGGGTCCCGTTCTATAACTACAGCATTATTATTTGAGAAGACCTAATCAGACAGCACTGATCCTGATGGAAGTGCTGCTTGTGTCTGTGCAACCTGCAACAATAGCGATGTTTCCACTGTTGATCTATCAAGTAAATTTGAAGTCAACTTTTGAAATGTTGCCAAAGTTAGAAAGACAATGCTTCGTAGTGAATAAACTCAGCTGTGTAGAGTCATCAGAAGCTGGTAGTAACACCAAGTTACACACAAGTAGGAGAAGAAGTCGGACACAAAACTAGCTCAAAAATTGAGAAAAGTTTTCAGGTTTGTTTTTAATAAGGCAAGTTGGAATTATTATTTAATGTCAGCTGGTATTCTTTTCATGCTGTCTGGAGACGAGAATGGTGAAAGAAAGGGAAACAACTCATCAATCGTGTGAGCTAGCCGTTTGCTACGTCACAACTCATTTGAAAAAAGTGTTTCCATCGTCCATGAAGTGCATGAACTCGTTTCCTAAAAAGTCAAAAGTCACCTCAAATGAGTATGAAAAATTAATTTTGTTATTTCCAAAATGTTTTCTTTTTCTTCAATATGATGCTTCAAAATACACAGAAAAATAAACTATCGATACTGAAATAGATTATTGTAAATTAGCAATGCTAACGCTAGCAGCTGTAGCATCAAATAAGGAAACATTATAGTTCAAGGGTCAACAGTGAAATCATCATAGTGGACTGTAACACTGAGATGAGCAGTGGATTAGCCAGGCTGTTTCAGGCAGCTACAGAGGAACAACAGATAACTTGGCTGTATGGAACGACTTCTTGGCGAGGGGATGATTGTACGCATCATAGCTGGGCTACGTTACATGAGACACAACGGTTATTAACTTGTAACTTCACATTAATGTGTTAATAGTAATCTGTGTTTTACAGCTGAGTTCAGGTCCAACAATTCATGGTTCTGCACAGCGTTCAAGTAACAGACAGGCCCGGATCAGTTCTGTATAGTACATTTCTGGGTCTTTTTAGGTTCATGCATAGATTTTTGGACCCGTGAAGACCTCAGTTCTGATGTAGAGACAGACGTTCAAAGCGCAATTCTTTGAAACAAGCTCCAGTAATCTTCATTCTGGTACGACTGACTCTTAGTGCATTTTAACCTGTGCCTTTGTCATAATCAGTTTTTTCTCATCGTTTCTATCATGGGCCATAGCCAGAAAATATTCATTTTTGTCACATTAAATGCCACTAGTGCATCCTCCCTCACCCTTTTTATGATTTCAAACAGAACAGTATTGATGAATATTTGAATGCAACGAACAAGCATTGTGATAATTCTTACCAAAGTAGTCTGATGGTCCTAATCTGCCAACTTCCACAAACTCCTCGTTCTCTGAGCGACGCTGCAACACGGCTGCAGAACCCTGAAGAACACAAAAACACACATCAGCTTGTTCAGCTACGGACTTGAGTCACGTGAGTTCTTCCACCAAAAGTAAAAATCATTTCAAACAGAAATGCACTTTAGAAAAAGGAACTGAAGAAGTGATGCATCTGACAACAACAAATTGGTTTTTAAGGGGAACCAGTAGCACTTTATCAAGTACAATGATCAGATTTAAACTCTTCATCATTCATGACACATCCTGTATTAATCCATTAAATCATTACAAATCATGCATTAGTTTCTTAAGCCTGAGATTGTTTTTATGATAGAAAGAAGCAATTCAAGGAGCCTTAATGTCCAGTGAATAAAGATTAACAGTTAAAGAAAAAAACGAACCCTGTTCTTAGAGGCATTTTGTCACCACACTGTAAAATGTTATCAGTTTAAAACCATTAAGTCGGAGTAAACATCATACCTTGTTCAATTAATTTTTAATACTTTGATTGATTTAGGGTTGAAACTAATAATTGTTTCTAATTTTTAATCTTGCTAATTATTTTCTAAAATATGATTTTTTTTTTAAAAAACAGCATAAAAAGGGGACACCTTCACAACAGCCAAACCCCCAAAGATGTCCACTTTAAGTACAGAATATGGCTTTAGGATGCATTCAACTTGTAGTTTGGTTTTCTTTGTCCAAACCAGAACAGAAATGATACATGTTTATCCTGTTACTGACTTTTTTTTTTAACACTAAACTAAAGTTAATACAAAACAAATGTCATATGCATGAGGCTGTGACCTGATTGGACAGCGTTTAACATGTATATGTTGCAACAGAATTTACAGAAATACTAAAAGGCTGCATGTTGGACTAAATGTGCTTGTTGGATTACTGTAGTTATATATGAGGAGTTTAGTCCCTGCTAAGAACTCAACAAAGTGCTTTAAAAAATGAAGAAAAAAAAAACAGCCAAAAACCACAACAGGAATTCCTGGTTGTGAATTCAGTAAACCAGCTGCACAAAGAAGGCAGTTCTGATGTCTGCACCAACTGTAATGGGCAATATTGTTACATTTAATTGGTTTTAATATCAAAATATTTGCCGATTTATTTTCTGTCACTCAGCTAATCTTATATAGGACTAATGGGTGCAGCTTGTTTGGAGTTGAGCAACATTTTTCCATCACCACAAGAGGGCATGGATGTGTGGAAAACAGAGTCCAACACCAAACCTAAAACAGTATTAATACATACGTAGAACAAAGAGCTTGTAAACTGTTTCACATTGCAGTCAGTCACAGAGTTGATTAAATAACTGAACCAACAATGGAAAGCTCCGATAAAAAAACAAACTCTTGGCTGTATAAAGGTGGGTGTGTGTGAAAGGCAGAGTTGTGAATTAAGCGGATACCTCTAAGATGATGAAGAACTCGTCTCCAGGTTCCCCCTGCACAACAATCTTTTGTCCGTCCTCAAACTGCACAGGCTCCAAGGCGTCGGCGACTGTCAGACGCTCCCATTTGTCAAGAGACTCTGAGGAGGGAGAACACAGGAAAGTTTTCAGCTGAGCTGACAAGACATCTCTGGAAACAAAAAAAATCTCTTGTGAAGGGTTGAACCTGCTACTGGTTTTGTTTTAAGTTGAGTTATTTTTACATTTGCTTTCAGGCTATTTCAATCCCAGCACCAAACACAAGCAATGAGCTTCTCGTTCTCTATTTTTAAGTTTTGGGATGAGGCTGATATATTAAAAAAAAAAAAGAAAAGAAATGAACCCACCTAAGATGGACACTTTCCTGAGGAATTCCTCGTACATCTTCCTCTTTCTCAAAGTGCTTCCCTGAAGAGACAAACATTTGTGTTAGCAAAACTGCATAAAAATGAAATCAAAGGTAAAGCATTTGTTAGGGGCTTACAAGTAATAAAATAAGAAAAATGCCACATTAATCCTAAGTCAGACAACACTGTGGGGATATTAGGTTGTTACAGCAGCAAAACAACAAAAACTGATCAAAAACATTTTGCCAGCAAACTTTATGAACAGTGGACTCCATTTGCACCACAGAGCCAGAGCTACAACAATGTGTCTCCTCACCATAAGTATTCTCCTGTAGCTGTCTCTGTCGATGCCCCACAGTTTAACGTTGGTCTTGGCTCTGACTGTAGCCGCCCTCGGGGTGCCGTAGATCAGTGCCAGCTCTCCGAAGCTGCCTCCCTCCCCAATGCTGGTCACCCACTCATTGTTCACATACACCTGTCGGGTAAGAAGGGTAGAAACCAAAGTATTATATTTCAAAAGTCACAAAAAAAGCTCAAATATTTCATGGAAAAACATGATGGTTTTGTTGACACTCACATCCATCTCCCCTTGGTCGATCACATAGAAGTTGTCACCTTCATCACCTGGAGGCATGTAACAACACGGTTAGCGTCACAAAAGCACACGCTACCAATTTGGATTAACGTTTGTTCAGCTTAACACTGAAAGATGCAATCCTACCCTGCAGAATGACTGTTTCCCCAGCAATATAGGTGACTGGAAACATTGCATCAAATATGTCACTGAAAAAGAACAGATTGGTGAGTTGATCCGCTGAACACAGTCAGTCAAACATTTAAACTCGATTCATAGAACCTATAAACGGATGGGTACCTCCTCTCGTTGTCATCCAGGTGTGAGAAGAGCACATTCTTTTCAATAGCTTTGGCCAAGGCAGCCATCGTTTTGTAGTCTTTTGGAATGACCTTAGAAAAAAAAGATAGTAAAAACAAGTGTGAAAATGATGCTTAAAATGTATTTTGCCGGATATTTCTAATATTAACAAAAAGGTGTCACAGCTGTTTGTGGGTGTGTCTGTGTGTACCTTTCTGACATATGAGGCTGCATCCTCCTCTGTGTAAACCTCTGCGCTGAAGGCTCCTCTCCGTCGGCGGCCCTTCACCACAGGGTTCATTGGCGGAGACACCTCCTCGTCGCGTGAGTCTGAACGGGAACTGCTGGCCTTCTGCTGGTTCTGGATCTGCTTGGCCTCCTCCTAGAAAGGACAGAGGGGGCGGAGTCAGACAAGGAGAGAAGCATCGACATCCCAGAAAATGTGTACAGTCCAGATGTTACTTGGAAAGTGGCATATTATTTGTTCTTAACAGGAAATAAACAACATTACAGAAAGTGTCAGCATTGTTTTGAGTGTATTTACAAAAAATATGCAGAGAACTGTGTGGACGACGTTGATATTATGTCATTTATCAGAGCCACAAACTGTGAAAACAGAAAGAATCACAGGATTTCAAACTTGATGACGGTCCTTGAACTAATCATGCGTGATGCACAGCTCCATTGGGAAAATGAACAAAATCGAATCTTGAAATTACATCAGAATTACTTTCTTCTCACAATCACATTATTCTGCATCGTGCATGAAAGGAAAAATGACAAAAACAAACTATTTGCACTAATCAGATTTCTTAAAAAAAAACAAAAATAAAAATCTGCTCTCCTCATCGCAATCAACAAGCTATTAGTTACTCAGCTGTGACCAAAAGTCACAAGACAAAATTCTTTCAGTTGAACGTCAGGCTGTGTTTACATGACGCAGGCAGGACAAAAGCAAATTAAGTACTAAAATATCTATAGTATGTAGAGCCACCATTTTTTTCAATACTGGTAACACCTGAGGGAGAAAAAATGTGCATGCTGATTTTAGGTTTTTCAAAGTTATAAAACTAATAATCAAAGAAATGCAACTTTACTTTCTCTCTTCCTTTTCATAATTGAAGGCATTATAACCTTGTTATACTTCACAAAAGACATTTTGAGCTCTCTCTGCTTCTAGCCACAGTTGTGCTGTTGCCATAGAGGTGCAGGACATTATCTGGCAGTGAAATATTAGCTCACACTTATTAAAAATGTGACAGGAGTAAATAAGAAAAAAAAAAAAAGAAAGTGCATGGTGTTCAGAGGGTTAACTTGGAATGCAGCTCAAATGAATTGAGATCAGGTGATTGGCTCTGTAAATGAGTTTTGATACATTTTGATGAATGTGAGCACATAAAAAGCTCCTCTGTACCTCTGCATTCATTCTGCTGCAACTGTCAGCAGTGAAATCATCAATATATTCCATTGTTTCAGTTCCAGCGGCCAACGCATGTCTGCAAGTCACACTTCTCTCTTGCCGTCGTTTTGATAGTGGTTGGTTTTTGCTTCATCAAACCACAGAACTCTGTTCCTGAACTCTACCGGTTTCACTTTGCAAAGTGCAGTCTACCATTTCTGTTTTTGAGGCGTGGGTTTGCATCTTGCAGTAAATCCTCTGAGCTTCAGGTCATGAATTCTTTTCTTCATCATTAACAAGGACAAATGTTCCCTTACATCTTGGAGAGAATTGTTGACTTGCAATGCAGTCATGAATGGGTCTTTTCTCTTCATGCACATGATTTTAATCCCAAAGACTTTCTCAGTCTACCAGGTCATCTGCAATTTGCTTGTGTTCATGTGAACACTTCCTTTTATAAAATGTGCCCAACCGTCAACAATGGTAAGCCATATGCACAAGCAACATGAGAACAACACAGCTTAAGAAACATTTAGAATCAAAGTGTCCAATTACTTTTGAAGCCTTGCAATCTGGGCACTGTGTTTTAAAATGGCTACATTTCACACAGTTCTCTCAATATTGACATAAACCTTCTCAAATCAAAGCAGAGTTTTAGCATTTTGACATAGTATTCATTCTTTTATTTCAAACTGAATGTGCTGGAAGTCAGAGCCTGAAGGACACAAAAATGTGTAACTGTCCAAGTACTTAGAATCTGGACTGTAGCTGCAGAAGACGGAAAAAAGACTAAAAAGATAACTAGTTATGATTTAATCTTTCTGGCTCTAAATAGCACACATTTTTGTAAACATTTTCCATCAACAGTAATAAAATGGGACATTTCAATTGTTTATACAGCTGTATGTTTTCATTTAGGTAATCATTGGAGTCAGGCCACACAGACTTTGCGTCACTTGATTTTACAGATATTTATAGTTAATATAGCATCCGGTTTTGAACGAGGCTTCCGCAAGCCCAATCCCAAGTGCATATTTACACTTTGCAAGTTCAAAACCTTGTCCAAAGCATGTGTGTGTCCTGTTTGAAGAAGTCCTACAACATAGTGTCAGCATATTAGTTTGACAGCTAATTATCTTGCTTTTAATGCTACAATTTTCAGCTATTGCTACATGTTTCTTAATCAAACTGTTGTTCTGTGACACAAAGATGAATAAACAAAAAGGTAGAAACACTTTCATCCAAAACACAATTAGCAAACTTATTGAGAACATCATGGAAAAACAATTTGCTTCTGGGTGAGAAAATGCTTCATCTATGACACAGAATATGTTAAACTGACAAATTGATTTCATAAACGGGTGTTTTTATCTAAAAATCAAAATGGAAATATTGTGTGAAATTGTTTGCATAAATAAATGTTGTTAATGCCAGCACATATCAGGTGGCTTAGAAGAGTAATTGCTTGGTGTAACATACAGGTGTATGATGCTCAGCCTTCACTGTGTAGTGATTGACTTTCTGTCCACTGACTAATAACAACAAACAAAATACATGCACACACACACACAGACACATACACTAACCTTCTCCAGCCTCTCAAAGTACTCCCTGAGGAAGGCCATGGGCCTGTCTGGCCTGGAGGTACACAGCTGGACAATGCAGTCCTTCAGCAGCTGTTGAATGTTGTGTTTCTGCACGTACTGCTCACACTCCCTCAGGCTCCGCTCCTCCTCGCTGCTCGTACTTCCAGATGCCATGACGACAACCGCAACCCTGCTCTGTGACCTCTAACCTTTGTGTTAGGGAGAAAAAAGGAGTATGATGTCAGATCATCTCTGTAAAACATGGACTCACTGGGTTAACGGAGAGTGACACTGAGTGAAAGTGTCTGTGTGTCGGGATGAGAAATGGACAGACAGAAAATGTGAGAAAAATAGAACCAGAGTGAGAAGGCACAGAGAGGTGGGGTGTTGTTTTGTCACTATGGAGCCTGTGTGCTCCTAAACATCAGGAGCAAAAACTGGTCATATGATGCGATCACACATATCTGACGACAGACAACAAAACTAAGACAGGCACGCTGTCTGTCAGGGGGTTTATTTACACAAAACTGTTTTCACTAGACTGAATAAAACCATCTATCACAGACACAGCAGCTGGCTACAGTCAAACAATTATCATACACAAGGCCTAAATTTATGCAAATGGTTAAATAAAGGCCAGTGAATCAATCCTCTGTGAAACAGGCCTAACCATAAAAGCAAGTGCACATGCTCGAGGTTTGAAAATTTCAGGCCACAGTGCTGCTGCTGAGCAAAATCGCATGACGGATTCTACATCATCTGATCAGCCCCTGTGATATAAATTTCTTCAGATAACACTGAGCATGAACTTGCTGTGTATTTAAAAACAGGAAGGGCCTCTAACGCTTCCAATTCTCTGCTGCAGCCAATGTGAGCGTTATAGAGGCGTGAATGAGTAAACAACAAGTCCTGTGGAGCAAAAAGTGCAATCCATTCTGCGCCTCCAAGTGTATCATGCATCAGTATAATAGGATTCAGATAATTTCTAATCTGACAAGGCCCAGGGGAGATTACTAGCCATGTTATCGAAGATGAAGCTGGCACAGGCTTCATGCAACTAACTACCCTCGTGGTGGAAACTTGGCAGGCTGGCTTTAATCTAAACCTACCACAGGAATAACTAAGTGGTAAATGATACTGTTTTTGGACCTGCTGGTATAAATTAAGAGCTACAGGCAAGAACCAGCAGGGCTCTTCTGTCTTATGTAATAGGCAAGTCTTAATTAGTTTGAATGTCTTAGGTGGTTAAATATATAAATAACATGTTAATTCTTCGGTGCAGCATCACCTTTGCTGTCTACTTAGAAAAAAAACAGGCTGTCAATTAAATTAGGGAAAACACCGCGATGCACAATGACCTTACTGAGCAGGAGGCAAAAGAGTAGGTTGGCGCGAGGTTGATAATAACGCATGAAAAGGTGTTCAAATTGAGGAAATACTGTCGCCTTTAGAGACAGTATGAAGGAAATGCCCTGTCTGTAACACCGTCTAGGTCAGAAAGGCTTCACGAGAAGGCTGACGGCTGCAGTCAAGTAACTTACAGCGAGCAAAATAACGCCAAAATGCCAACTAACCACATTTTTAACGGCTAGTAAAGACCACTTGAGATGAAAAATACACGTTTTGCAGTTTTTCGTAACTATTTTCGGCCTACGTAGTGTCAAACTGTGCGTCTGGTTTGATGCCTAGCTGGCTAGCTCCGTGCAAAGGCAAAGCTCTCCTCCAATGACGCCATCTTGAGTTCTATCATAAACAAACGAGAGACGGAGGGAACAAATTTCACCTATACAGAGGTCATATGTTCCACCGAACGGAACGGCGCAGGTACTCACAAGAAAGTGTAAATTCCTGCCGAGCCTTTCGATAAGCGACTCGGGATGTAGGATATTTCTCAAAGCGCACCGTTACCAGATCCTCCTCCTCGCTTCGATTTTTTTCGCGAGCCCTGGACCGCTGCCCCACCGGATACAGCCGAGGACCAATCAGCGGTCGTCACTGACGTCAATTCTCCCCGTTCTGACATGTGAGCCGGTAACCCGTGGCAACCTTAAAGGAGCCCGCATGCGTCATGACGTCAAGGAAATGGTTAAGGAATGAAAAAAAAAATCGATTCATATCTGATTTTGTTTTTTTAAGAAAAGAAAAGAAAAAAAAAACGATTCTGTTGACAGGAATCTCTCTGCTTGATCTTTATTTAGACAAGTAGAAAAAAAAAGTCAAAAATGGGCTTCAAAGGTAAAGAAATCCTGACTGGAACATTAAAAAATAGCAAGCAAGTCAGCCAGCAAGTTTATTTAAATAGTAAATTATTACACACAGAGGTTATTACAAGTGCTTTACAGGCTAAAATAAAAACATGAATAAATAAAACGTGCAGACAAGTTTGTCAAAGTATACACAGTTTTTAAAAAAACTGAGTAATTAAATTAGTTTGACTAAAACAGTGGAATAAGATTTCAAAAAACAAAAACATAAAACGATGTAAAAGATAAGGTAAATAAGGTAAAGTGCTTCCTGTTAAACTGGATTTGTATGAAAGGCTCTGCACAGATGAAGTTGAGTGACTGATACCATGTAGATGTACAAACACACACACACACACACACAATTACAACTCTTGCACAATGTACACTGCACTTTAGTTGTGCAATCTCCTTACCCCTCATTAGTTGTGACATCTTCTATTTTTAATCAATGTTTTTAATCATGTCTCGCTGTTATTGCACGGCCTTGTAAAACAGTCACTTTGCATTTCACTGCATGTACAGTATTAGCATGTGACAAATAAAAACTCTTGAAAAGCAGTGGAATAAAGAACAGTCTTACTTACTTGCTTTTCTAAATGGCCACATTTGGGGTAAATCTATGTTCTGAGGGGAGCTGGTACTAGCAGCAGGCAGCACAATGACTAAATGTCATGTCACCATGTCTGGTCTGAACTCTGGGCTCCACTAGGCTTACTAGTCTTACCAAGCTCATATGTAGCAAACATACAATATATGTGGCATGTTTTGGGTCCAGATAATTCAGAGACATATAGGCAATAAGTAGAAACTTAAGTCCAATCCTATATTTACCTGGAAACTAGTGCAAAGATCTAAGAATCAGAAAAATGTGTTCTCTCTTCTTAGTGTCTGTCAGAATTCTGGCATCAGCATAGTCTTATTAGGGAGGCCAGTGATTAGTGCAGTACAGTAGTCCACTCTACAAGTAATAAAAACATGAATGAGATTCTCTAAAGCTTGCTTGGACACAAAGTTTCTCACTTAAGCTATATTAGCCTTTAGTTACAGCTTTGATGCGGCTGCTGAAATTTAGATCCTGATCAATGATTAAGCCTAGATTCTTGAATTGGGTGTTATTTTTTAGTGTCTTGAACTTAACTTAAGTACTAAGCGGGAATATCAAATATCATGTAGTATATAGTGTGGATGAGTTTTCTGTTTTCAATGCAATGGCCTGAATCAGAGGCATTGATAAGATCATGACACATTAAGGCCGGAAAGGTTTAAATTTTATTCTGATAACTGCACCACTTTCAAGCTATTTCATAGTAAAATGAGAATGAATTGTGAGACACTGAGCTTCATAGGCAAAGTAAGGTCATCCTGCTGTCTTTCTATCCTCGGCTCATAATCCACACTGATATTGTAAGAAGTGCACAGTGAGGTTTACATAGATTTACATGTAAAGAAGTGGTTTGAAAATACTTGTTAACATACACTGTATTTAAATAATAGGCTGCCGGACCCAATAAACAGTTCAACAGAGCAGATGCAGGTCAACCAGTTGGCTGGAACCTGGTTCTGCTGGAGGTCTGTTCCTGTTAACAGGGAACTGAAGAGTTCATTTGCAAAAACAGATAACTCCATCTTCACAAATCTTCAGAAAACCCACTTTTCCATCATCTACCTGAGAGAATATCAATCAAACTTAAGTTATCTCTATTGTTGTCATGTCATTTCTATTGAGCTAATCCACTCAACTTCAGTTTGATTAATATTATACCAAGCAAACAACAACAACAAAAAGTTTTCTGAAAATCTACAAAAATGGAGTTATCTGTTTTTGCAAATGAAGTCATCAATTGTTCCTCTCCAGCGTTGCCAACATGCTCGCTCAATAATTTGGATTTGTAGGGTTTATCATTTAATTTGAATTATTTTGGTAATCTGTTCACATAGTATTGTATGGTCTAAACAGAAATATTTAAATTCCCAGATACATTTACAAAATAAACATTATTGTGGGGTCTTAATCTTGATTTTTAAACTTGTTCGGCAACTTCAATAACTTATTTCTCTACTGAAAAGTATTTTGGCTCAATGTCTGTTTCTCATTCCCTTCTACTATCAACATCTTTCTGTTTTCAAAATCCCGTTCACCGCTGCAATCTGCAACAACATCCCATTAGCAACCCACCACACTAAAAATGTGAAGCTCTGTCGAGTGTTCGGATCATGCAGTAAGGCAGCCTTTCCAGTTTTGCTTGAGAATTAACGATTTCAATATCAGCAATTGCATCTGTGTGGTAAATGCTCAACCAAACCAGGTCCATCTTCACTATTTTGAGAGGACGTGGTTGTTGCATCCTTCACTTTGCTCCACCCGATGCCATTGTTGGTTTAAAAGAAAAACAAACTACTTTCTCCCACTATAGCTGAATAATAATGAAGTGCAGTCAGACCATTCTGCAGTTCAGATTAATAAATATTGACATATTGCATTTTGCATTTTTGTATCTGTAGGGTATTTTTGTTTTAACTTGATCTCAGTTGTTATGTTGCCTTCTAAGTATTTTACTTTTGCACTAACTGCCAAAGTCTTTGTATTTTTAAAGTACTATATGAATATGAAGTTATTATTATTTTTATTGAAAAAGCTGCCAGATACATGTAGATGAATTAACATATCATGTTCTATACACACACAGTGCTGCAGTATGCACTTTATACGACTGTAATCACTTCATGATACTGTAATTCACTTTGTCACTGCAATAGTTACTTTATGAAAACCCTGTTTACAAATGCACATTACTGCTGTCACTTTACGTCTGCTTATTTATTAATTTCTTTGGTTTTTATACACAGTTTTTTTTTTCTTCCTTTTTTATATACTATGTCATTTGGTTTAGGAGAATGAGAAAAATAAGAATTTTATTGTACAGTGTAACTGCCTAATTTCTGTGCACATGACAATAAACCTCTTCAATCTTGTTCTATGAACTGTATTAGAGTATATTCCATTGATTTTCCCTTAACACATAATGAAATAAAATTCTTAAGAAAAAGAAAATAAAATGTGGGGAAAAAATAATAATCTTGCTCAACTGTTACCAAAATATCTTTGTTCAGCAGCTGGACGTCCCCCTCGGGGTTGTTGATGTGTCGCCACGTTTTATCCAATGAAATCATCAAAACAATTCCTCGTGACAAGACTGAAAGTATAATTGGCCAATCAGCAGTTTTTCCTCTAAATGGGCGGGTCTTATTTGAGTGCTAGTTGTATTAACCAATCAACGTTGGGCTACAAACACATTGACCAATAGCAATGCAGAAGAGGCGGGCTTGTCAAGTTGCTGTTAGCCAATAGCGAAGCAGCTACCAGTGACGCATCCTCCCATCAGCTGTTTTTGTTTTGCTGTGTGAATATTGGAAGTTAATAACATAATAATAACAGCAGTGTCGACTGGCTAAAGTGAAACGGCTCTTTCTGGAGGTCTCATCGTGTATCTTTGTTTTTGTTCGGGTCTGGGAGTTTCCCACTCGGCGTGTGATGCCCACCAGCGGCGCCAGGCTGCCCGGACATTCCTCTCCCTGAAGAGTGCGAGCGTGGCGCTTGGAGTCGGGGAGCAGAGGAGGGGAAGCGGGTTCCGGCGGGGATCGACCCGAGCCAAAGGCCTCCGACCTCGGCCGGCCAGAGCAGAGGGAATTCGGCGGCTCGGATGGAGTCCCAGGACGCATCGGACGAACCCGGAGTCCACCGAGGCTTCATCTGTGCCTCGTTTAACCAGGACACCACGTAAGCGACCTGCGGGCCCGGCCCAGCATGAACTCAATCTCTTTGATTCACCTGACTGTTGCATAATTATTTTCAGCCTGGTTTATTTTCTGGATTAGGGAGCAGGGAGTTGTACGGGTGCGTCCAAAAATGAAGCTTCATATGCCTCCTGAAAACTTCGAGATGAGTCACTAGGAGCTGAAAGTGAACTAGGCCACTGTGTTAATCTTCAAGGCCTGTTGAATTAAACCAGTCAGTCACTATTGTAACCAAACTTGTGAGTAAGACATGGCTGAATACAATGCACTAAAAAACAGGCCTGATCCAGTGTCCTGCTCTGTCCCCCTCTTGATTCCTGACACCAGGCAGCATTCAATATTACATGTTAATAATTAACATGCAACACTAACAAGCAATGTGGTGTTTTCTATCTATTTCTCATTGTGCCATGCTGTACATTTACAGAATTTACAGATAGGCATAGCAATTTTATCGATTTTTTATGAATTATTCCATTAAAACACCTTTATTACACTGATAAACCTAAAAGTTCTGCAGTGAAACAGTTTAATTTCACAGATTTAGCCTAAAGTATTATAATCAAACACCTAAAATAATGAGTTAACACATGCTCAAGATTGTTAAAGAACAGGTTTACACTGAATGACTTATAGAGTACAAATTACTATTGAGTCCACAACAGTTTTGTTTGATTTATTTAAATATAAAATGTAAAACCAATTAGTTTTTTCATAAATGTTTCTGCAAACCTCTTCAGAAGGAACTGAACTGCTTTTTCTGTATTCGTGGGCTGCAACATAAGAGTCTGACAAAAGCTTTATTTCAAGAAAGTAAATTCCAAAAATACATATCTAGGGGACAAAGTGAGAAAACATAAGAGCATGGTGAGCTCCAGCAGGAAGGAAGTGGTGACAATACAAGACTCCTCGGGCCTTAAATCCACCTCTTCAGATGTAGAAATTGAACAAGAAGCTCATGTAGCACCCAAAAACTCCTGCACTACTAGTGCAAGGCCAGTGGGGCATCAGAGGGGTGCATCAGGATGGAAAGATTCAACCTTGAGAGCATTATATCTTTGAAATAACACATTATGTTGTATGCAATAAACAAAAAGTCGGCTTAGTTCGTGTCAGCTTTTCCATTATGTGGTGTTTTCTGTTGTCCCATGTTTGGGGATTATTAGAGACAAGTCCAGCAGATCTCGCTGGCTTCTTCAGTTACAGGTGTGCCTCCTTACATAAACATTTCCCTTGGCTCCGCTTGTAAAACTAAGCAGGTGACTAAACAGACAGCCGGGCCTTCTTATCTCTGTGTCATCGTGTTCTTTTCATCTCCAGCCGCGATACGGTGAGATAGGCTTCTTCAGGGCAGTTGGCCGTTTTTAATTGAAGCCGTGTTTTGGCTGATGCCGTACGTGGCAGCCAGATACACCTGCACACAAGGAAGACGCGTGAATCTGCCGTCGCGTTTAAGGCGTCCTGCCATTTATGGCCTCATGCTGCCGTCACAGTTTGGTCAGTTCAGTTATCAGTGAAGTCACCTCAGCTCATATGATGATCCACAACTAGTTCCTTGATGGAAAATCGCACCATTTTTATGACTGTGTTAGCAATGGGAAAACTTATACAACTCATCTGATGTCACGTGCTTAATAGCAATAACTTTACTTATATAGTTCCATTAAAAACAAGAGTTTACAAAGTGCTTTGAAAGACAAAGCAAAAGCAGGATACCCAGACGGCCAAACAAAACCGACGCCAAATTACAGTGAACTTAAGATAAAGTTAAGTTTTTTAATTACAGTAATTAAAAATTGTAATTACCGTGTTATTAAGCTATTTTCACCTTTAAAATTGTGTGTTTGTCTGTGCTTTGACTCCAGTTCTCTGTCAGTGGGCACCAAGACAGGCTACCGGCTCTTCTCAGTCACAGCTGTGGACAAACTGGACTGCATCCATGAAGGAGGTACCATGGAAACTGTCAGAACCCCGTCAGATTATGTGTGTTTTTGCTTGTTTGTACAAATCCAGTCACCCACACAGCAAGTGCATCATGACATGACCAGCATCTCCTCCCTAAGATGACATAACCGGACGTCACCACGGTATCATCTCAGCTGTGGTCACGATCATCTTGGTCACACAATAACTCAGACAGGCTGGGACGCGTTTGCTCTGCTGCACACGGTGGTTTAACAGAAGAACGCTCAGTTTAGCAGCAATGAAAGTGAAAGTTAAGAGTCAGTTTGAGGAAATTTCAACCCAAACTTCTTGTTTGTCTGGCGACTGGCAGTTTCTCTTCAATAAAGTGGATTGGCAGCAGGAATGATAAGAAAGGAGATTTTATAGGAACTGACAACAGAAGAAGATGTTACCATCGTGAATATACTGTAAATGCATTATTTTCATCAATGCTTCCGTATAAAATCCAGATTTAAGCCCTTTCTCCTCTCTCCCAGTGGAGTGTCCGGATGTCTACATAGTGGAGCGACTGTTCTCCAGCAGCCTGGTGGTGGTGGTCAGTCTGTCCATGCCTCGGCGAATGAACGTCTACCACTTCAAGAAAGGCACGGAGATTTGTAACTACAGCTACTCCAACAACATCCTCTCGGTCAGACTCAACAGACAGGTGAGAGCCTGAAATGCAGTCCTTCTGGTCTGTGCTGTTTAATCTAACGTATGTTCACGTGCTGATCCTTCTGTCTGTTGCCTTCACCTTCTGTATCAGCGGCTTGTGGTTTGCCTGGAAGAGTCGATCTACATCCACAATATCAAAGACATGAAGCTACTCAAGACCCTGCTCAACACCCCTACCAACCCCTCAGGTAACGCTCAGGCACAGTGACGACAACTTTCATGAAGTTTTTAGGGTTGTTTCATAAATAATGATTCATAGACTGATGTTGATCCATAGAAATACACACTTGGCACAACTCTAAACGCACATTTTCTGCTAAAATAAATAAATCAGGGTGCCATTTGAGAAAGCGTGAACATACATACCCATCTAAATGAAAGGGGAAAACCTGATTAGCAATCATCTGTTGTTAAAGTGAAGAAGTACACCTACTTTTCTAGGAACAGCTGTGTAAACATAACTGATTTCATGCATCCACCATAAATTACCTCGAGTTAAAATCACTAGTTTGCAGTGTATTCGTCAGATCAACAAAGAAAAGTCAATCATCCATCCTGCACAGTTGATCAAAAGGTTAAAAAAAAATGAAGAACTTGTGACCGAGAACAGAAGGTGCAGACAGACAGAGCTTCACTGCTTCACTGATCAAGGATGAAAAAAATACAGCTGTGTTCACAAATCATTGCAGACAGGATCAGTGAGTTTGGGTACAGAGGAAGTCAGCGGCACTGGAAACCATTAATAGGCTCGAAGAATAAGACAGCCAGGAATAAATCTGCAAAAGGACAGAGTAGCTTTTTTTTTCATGAGTTCAAATTCAACCTACACGCGTCTGATGGTGGAACATTTGTGTGGAAAAAGCCAGGAGTGGACTTCCAACTAGATGGTTTGGTTAAAGAATGGAAATGTTGAGAGAATATTTTGTCTGGGAGAAAATCAGTCTTAGAAATGGCCCTTGAAGAGATCTGACCTTAGTCCTATAGAATCAGTTTGTTAGTGCCGTAGTGTGGATGAACTAAAAGCTTTACTGCCTGAAACATTGAGGAAATGTTGACTACAGATGAAACTAACCCCTCCCATAACCAGACTGGCTAAAGAATGGCAAACCCAACACTGAAACACACTAACTGTAATCTTTAGTGAAGCCAATGTTAACTGTTCAATACGTTTTCATTTTAATTTATTTCATGATTTAAAACCTAACAAATTTCTTTTTATGTAATAATTAGCTTGACAAGTGTTCTCTCCTTTAAAAAAAAAAAAAAGCCATTTGCTTTTCTTGTTATCTAATGGAAGTTAATTATTACATCTTTTAGGAGTAGTTAAAAAGCTTTTGGGTCCCTGTATAGAACAAACATGTCTGTGTGTGTATATTGGTTCTGACAGTCTCTGACCAAAATCTTGGAAATAACTTTAATTCATGCAGACGGAGACTATTAAACTTTTCCTGAATACAGGCCACTGTGACCACAAATTACATTTACAAGATGCTGGTGAATGCTAAAACAGAGTGCAACAGGAGGTTTGCTAATAGTTGCCACCAGAAGCTACTTGTCATAGAAACTTTCAGTGAGGTTGTAGCAGAAAACTGACTGTACTGAACTGAGCAAGTGTGTATTTTAGTGTCTGATGAAGTTTGCATTTTTGACTCAGAGCTGCTTGCCAGGATGCACAATGCCAGAATAACCTTGCAACAGGAAAAACTCAATGAGAACTCAAATGATACATTTGCAAAGTATTGACGAGCAGTGTGTAATAATGACGAGAAAAGATGTGCTCATTTGAATGTATCACTTCAATTTGTTTTAGTAAAAAGTAGCATGAAGCACTGTGTTGAAAACATGCACAACTCCACGAGGAGGCAAATGGCAAGATTGGTTTGATAGGTGTGGATGATAAACAAAAGAAAAAAAAAAAGGGGAAAAACCTACATTCACCTCTTTACTTCCTGTTAGGTCTCTGCGCGCTCTCCGTCAACCACAGTAATTCCTACCTGGCGTACCCTGGTAGCGCCACCATCGGAGAGATCACAGTCTACGACGCCAACAGCCTGGTGAGGCGGCGCTAAACTTAAAAATTGCAGCTGTTGTCACGTAACTTGAAAACCCCTTGGTGCTAAATGAACCCATTGTTGGTGCGGATGTCATTAAAAGGCCTTGCTTGCCCCTTCAGAGCACTGTGACGCTGATCCAGGCCCACGACAGTCCGCTGGCAGCCCTCACGTTCAATTCCTCTGGCACAAAACTGGCCAGTGCGTCAGAGAAGGTGAGGACTTGATTCCCTTTGACCCCTCCTCCTGTTTTATTACCCATCAGTCTGTCTGATAGCGTTCTCCTCTACAGGGCACCGTCATCAGAGTCTTCAGCATCCCCGAAGGACAGAGGCTGTTTGAATTTCGGCGAGGAATGAAGAGGTTAGCACTCATATTTTCCTGGGGTTCAGTTGTGGACAGTGGACAGACTGTAGACAAGATGATTTGCGGTGTCCGACAGAGGCTAAACAAAGTTCATGTGACAGGAAGGTCAGCAGTTCAAATGACCCTCTGATTCCTTAACAGTTAAGAGTTGTGGTGAGTAAGATGCTTTATCTGGTCAGTAGCTGCTAAATGGATGTCAATTAGTCATGGAAAGATTAAACTGAAAGACAGTCATGAGTAGAGCCCGATCGATCCTGGATCTCTGGGGCCGAAACCAACTCTTAGACGCTAAAGAAGCCCAATATTGATATATCAGCCAATATTCTTGACACATAGACATGTAGAGTATGTTAGAAAGAGATGGGGCCATTCTTTATCATCTTTTTAGCAATATATTTCACAAACTAGTTAGCAGCCACCATTTGACTCGGCACCACTGTCTGTAATACGTACTCTGCTACATGTGCTGCAGACAGCACTGAAAGTGTCGTACACAATAGAGTTGGAGCTGCTCTGCTGGTAAAACTATGTGATGACAACATTTTGTCTTTCTCTGTTTCTTGTGTGTCAGATATGTTAGCATCAGTTCGTTGTCCTTCAGTGCAGACGCACAGTTCCTGTGTGCCTCCAGCAACACTGAGACGGTGCATATCTTTAAGCTGGAGCAACACAGCCCCAGGTAAACACACACACACTCTTTATTTCTTTTATTTTTAAGTACCAATTACAAACCAATTGAGACTAAATGTGCTGATAGATGTAATGCGATAATATACAGTAATGTGGTAATATGTACATGAGGTGTGATCAGAAAGTTCTGTGACGGTCTCTGGTGCGTGCACACAAAGTATGTTATGGTCATGGTCCATGCAACATATGTGAGCAGCAGCTATCAAGAGTCAGCATGCTGCATGACATTACATGACCAACAGTGAAACCAGGTTTTTGTTACCAGTGGTAAGTTCATGATTCCAGCACAAACTGGAGCAACAAAGACAACATCAGTCTGCGTTCGTCAGGAGCCCAGAATGAGCTTACTTTTCATTTTAAGTATCATCACTGGTGACGAGAAGTGGGTCTGCAGCTACAACCCAGAGCACAGACAAACAAAAAAAAAGCTGTGTCAGGTCAGCAGTGCTAGGTGCTGTCCATGTTGGTTTTTGACCACAAAGTGACAATCAGCACCTCCCTCCCGCCTTACACACCAGATCTTCCTTGTGACTTATTCATCTTCTTCCTCAAAATGACATCAAAGTTAAAAGGTGTTATTTTGACACTTTTTGGGACATTCAGCACCCACTGAAGATGGCGCATGTCATGGTTACATGCATAACATGACTTCCATGCAGCATTCCAGTCTTGACAGCAGCCTTGAGACTGGTGCAAGATAACTACTTTGAACAGTTCTTGATTTTTATTGACAGTATCAGACATGTTTGATCATACCTCATATACATAGATTGTGTAATAATATGCAGTAATAATCGGTGGTTGGGATGAGTAGTATGTTCCCTCACTATTAGTATTCATTGTTCTCTGTTTGGATTCCTGTTAACTTCCACCAAGGTGGCAACTCCTCCACTGGGGGTCCACACGCAACAAAGCATAACAGTAGAAACACAACATATAATATATCATTTTAAATCCAAATGTATATTGGTTCCAAATATTGGTTATCATCCTCCTTGATTACAAATAATCTATACTGGCCCTGAAAAAACAAAACAAAAAACATCCCGGTTGATCCCTACTGCATTTTTAATATAAAGCAGTTTTCACAGATCTCTATTCCCCTGTTACAACACAAAACTAATGTCTCCAGTAATATTGTTTAACATTATCTTTTGTACCTTAATCCATGATTTGCCTTGTTTCCTTTCAGTCGAGAGGAAGAGTCTCCAACATGGTCAGCATATGTGGGCAAAATGTTCACAGCAGCCAGCACCTACCTGCCCGCCCAGGTGTCCGACATGATGCACCAGGACAGAGCCTTCGCCACCGTACGGCTCAACATGTTTGGCTTGAAGAACATATGTGCTCTGGCTACGTAAGGCAGCACAAGAGAGCACAACAAGACAGGGATGCTCTTATCTGTATCTGTGCAAGTTCGTTTACATCCGGTGTATGTTTCGTTTGTCAGGATTCAGAAACTTCCTCGCCTGCTCGTGGCATCCTCAGATGGGTATCTTTACATCTATAATGTGGATCCACAGGACGGAGGCGAGTGTGTCCTTGTCCAAAAACACAGGTGTGTGTGGTGGGATGTGTCCTTCATAGATATTTGCATCTAAAGCCTTAATTAGCCCTCTGAACCCTGAAACCTGCCTGCGGATTTAAAATATCTTAAAAAAGAAATCGTTAAAATGACACTACTACACCACAGACTGAATTCTTAGATTTTGAGCTTTCCTACAGTCTTTGAACTACTCACCTGTGCTGTTCCATCAGGAAACTTAATCAAAACTAAGCTTAAAATTATGATTCACCAACCACGTGACAAAAACTTCTTTCAGCTAAGCTGGGCTGAACTGCACAGTGTGTTTACTCAGACAGGCGACATGTATGGAAACAATTAAAAAATATAAATAGTAACATATCTACAGTATGTGGAGTCACTGTTCCAGTATAACAGCACCTGTGGGCATTTAGAATAATGCTGTACATGCTGTACTTCTAGCTATAGTATTGTTCTTTCCATAGAGGTATAGGACTTTATATTGCAGTGAAAATTTGCATTTAGAAAAAAAATAAATAAATAGAAATGCCCAGAAGATGTTTGGAATTCAGAGGGTTAAAGTACACACTCATTTCGGTTCACTAAACCTGACTGTTAAATAAAAAATAAATAAAAGGAAAAGATGGGACGTGGATGCAATTATTTGCATTGTAAATTTGTACCACAACAAAATATTGGAGCTACGTTTAAGCCACCAAACTGAAAATGAAATGTTGAAGGACAGTTTCCAGAAGTAAAATACATACATCATCAATATGTTGGTTAAATTATATTGTGTTACACAGAAACAGAAATTTAAATTACAATACTGTTTTTTTATGGTAATTTTACTGGTGAAGTTGGGGAAAAGTTAAAATTGTAGTCCATTTTGTTATCGGTGCATTTCAAGCATCAGAATGTTGCAGATTGCAGCTTTAAAACGTCAGAACTGGTTTACGCAACGTTCTCACACTAAGTTGGGTGTCACAGTGTCGCTAATCCTCCGTCTGCTGTGTTCCTGCAGACTCTTTGACTTCAGCGAGGAGCAGGTGGAGCAGAAGGAGGAAGAGAACCCAGAGGATGTCCCTCCACAGCCAGCCAGCCAATCATACGCTGCCACTGTGGCTCTCCCTTCGACCCCGCCCTCCTCCACCACGCTCATGGGTGAGGCCTTCCTAATCAGAAACTGATGAAAACCTCTCCAAGGTTTACCACCGGCATTCTGAACCGGATACACAGTAGTTTATTTTTAAAGATGAAAACCATGTTTATGCTTGTTATACATGTCCATATGGCGTTAAAAGAATGTACACATTTCAAAGGAGGCAACAGTGTAGAGTTACATCTCAGCCATTTTACGGCATAAAGGCATAATTTTCATGGTAGATATATGTTTCCAAAGAGGGACTTCAAAGGTAGAATTTAGAGAGTATTACTGACAGTCCACTCACTGTCTGTTCTGTATGAGCCATGAAAATATGTGGTGTTTGTAGAAAGTCCTGACTGTAAATGGGAAACAAAGTGGCTTGAACTATACATACAGCACTATTCCATCATCTATCTACCATAGATAGATAGATAGATAGATAGATAGATGGATACTGATTATCTAAATACCATTTTTTTCTCTAAATATTTAGATTTAACCTTTAAACTCTACTTTTTTGTAGCTCTTATACTGCAGGTGTCATGATTTAACTGTGGCTCTCATTGTTGTTATGAAACTCCTGACAACGGTTTCAACCACAGAAATGATTTATCTGACAATTCAAAAGTTCCGTATGCATACGATTTATGACAGAAACACGAACAACTAAAATCTTAAAAGTGCTCAAAATTCATTTTTGACTAAATTAGACATGGAGTCTTTCTGTAAATTGTTTTCTAGCTCTAATAGTTTCTCCTCAAATGCTTCACATTTGGCAAATATGATGTAAGTAAACATCAATGTAGACAACTGTTTTTTCCGCTTTTAAAAAGTGGTGTAAAATACAACAGTTCTGTGTCTGAAAGTGAAAGGATTTACCTTCACTGAAAGTAAGTAGAAGAACTTTTTAAAGTGGTGGCACATTTTCAAAAAATATATAGTAATAGTATGTTATAGTAGCATAAGGCATCTGCAGTGCAAATGGTGCTAATTATACAAATCAAGTCACTGATATCTATAAAAGACATTTAAAACAATAGGCATGTGAAATTCTAATTGAGAAATGTGATTAATATTACTAATTACAAAGGTTTAACCCTACAATTTCATAAACCTTTTTACAAATTTAGTCTGAGGCAAAACGTCACATTGTTTCAGGATTATCATCATCATTTTAATGAACTTTGCGGTTTAGAAGTAGAGAGTAGAGTTTGTTTTTCTCATGATTATCAGCACATTCACTTTACCCAAAGCCCTCACGGAGGCTGATTTTACTTCAGTGTGAGTCCAGTCAGAGCTGAAGCGACGACACGACCGTCCATCCTTTCTAACAAAGCAGCAGGTGCAAGGAAGACTTCCCACAGGACACAGATGGAGGTCAGGCCAACAGGGGTAACAAAACCCTCCTCTGTCTCGTGTCTCTTCCTCCTAGGCTACTCTGAAGACGGCGGAGCCCAGAAGGGGGAAGTCATCCCTGAGCACGAGTTCGCTGAAGGCCCAGTTTGTCTGGACGACGAGAACGAGTTTCCTCCAGTCGGCAACCAGAGTAACTGACCAAACCTCCCCCCACCACTGCTCTCCTCCTCCCTGCGAACCCCTGCACAAAAATCAGACTTACTTTATTTCAAGCTGGGAGGAGCATCATCCTGATGACATTGTGGCACCCCGACCCTCCTACGAGTCCCCCACCCCCCTCCGCTGACCTCCAGTCAAACCTTTCAAGAATATTACTTCCTGGTGTCTCTTTATTCTGCGTCCCTCTCACTCTTTGTAAGGAATATAGAAAAAAAAAACACTAAAACAGAGTGGAAGGTCCTCTCATCTTTCAAAAAACAAACAAAAAAAAAACCCCTACACAACATTTGCTTAGACAGATTCTGTCTGAAGAGTCCTACTGTTAACTCCCATATGATGCCATTAACAACAGTGTTAAACATGTTTGAATAACCACTGCACAGCAAGACATTTACATTATTGTTGAGCATACAGTGTGTGTCGTTGTTGGACAGTACATATGTCTGTGTATGTCCCAACAGAATATTATCACGGTAGCAACGAAAGGAGAGACTGATATGGAGGAGAAACAAGAACAGTCGGGCCTGCTGCTGATGTAGAACAACCGGGGGTCAGATTCACAAAAATGCTCTCGAGCGAGACGCTTCAAACTCCACCTGAGCAGAGTGCAGCATCTTAAGATCGATCATTTCTGTCCATCAGGGCCCCCAGGAACTTCTCATTATTATCAACGGGCATTAAATGCATCATACCTCAAGGAAGAGATGTTCGCTTGAGACAGGAAAACATATTGTGTGATACGCTATTTAAAATCATGATACGTGCCGCGAGTGTTGCGTGACTCGCAGATGCAGCTGTGAGGCTAATTATGGTAGCAATAGAAGAGACTAAGAAACACTGCAGAGTCACAAATGTAACCTGATAATATGTTTGGAAGCTCTGTGGGAGGAGCAGTCAGCAGCTAAATGTGAAGAGCCCGAGCTGTACGTGACGAAGTTACAGGTCCTTGAGTTTCACCCCGAAGACCTTTTTATTTACTACATGATGCTGAATATGTTAACATGTAAGTCATTGTTATTTTTACATTGATGTATGAAATGTTCTTTTTTTGCAAAAAAAAACGTTTGAAGTATTACACATCGACACATAGACTTACCATGCGTAAATATATATGGAGGATTTTTACTGTGTGTATAATGTATATATAACATTTCTATATAGTACTGTTGTAATAAGTAACATAGTAATACCATGTGATTTGCCAAAAGGTGGCGCTGTTAGGACACCCTTAAGCTGCATTGAGCTGTTCAATTACTGGACATTGACACCAGAGACTCATTAAACCTGAGAAGTGACTCAACCTCTGCAACATGTGGTTTTGATTTTCTAAACGAGGATCATTTACATGATTTAACCGCTGCCTGATCCTGTCAGTAATCCAACGAAAAAATAACAAGGTGACATATTTGCACACTTTGTTCCTGTACCTTAAATTGTTTAAAAAACAACAACGTGGCTTTAATAACAGGGCAGCAGTTGGATCCATAAATTGTTGTCTGTAAGTTTTTGGATGGTGATACAGTTTTCATAATTTTGGCTCCGTACATCACAACAGATTTGAAAAGAATCAGTCAAAATGTGATCAAATTGAGACTTTCAGCTTTAATTCATGGGAAGAAATGCATTAGCCATTGTTTGTACAGTCTCTTTAGTTTCGCAGGCTCTAAAGTAATTATTTATCTAACTGATAAGCAGTTTAATGGCCAAGAGTGACCTGCTTCCTTGTTATTTAATGAGAAATTAACCCTCAGAACTCCAAGCAGTTTCTGGGCTTTTTTTTAATGCTTCTGTCATGTTTTTGCTCACTGTGGGCTCTTCTTTTAAACTACAATAAAAAGTCCTGAACCTCTATGGAATCAACACAACCTTGGCTAGAAGAGAGAAAACTCAAAAGTGCCTTTAGTGCAGTTTAACAAAGGTAAAATGCCAGAAAGTATATATAAGGAAAGAACAAAAAATCTGGGTTTAATTTCTTGAATTATCCATTTTACAAAAATTGAAAAAAACAAATCAACATGTAGAACATTTAAGAGCTGAGCCCAGAGCTGTTATTACTGACAAAAAAAACAAACGTGTAACTACAAACTATGGCTACATTTTTAATTTGTTTCCATACTAGTCTCTTACCTGCTGTGTATAAACACAGCCTGCAGTTCAAAAGAACAGTCTCTGATTTTTTTAAGGTGACTATTTGTCAGTATTCAGTCACTAATGGATTTCCGGTCGTGCTTAGAAAAACAGAGTTTTTAGTTTTTGACAGCATCTGGTTATTGTATATAACACAAGACATGTAGAATAGAGTGGTTTCGATGAATTAACATGACTTTAAACTTAGATTAGGATAATTTTCTTGATGAAACGGCGAACAAAAACCCTTTTATAACTTTTAAATCAAGCGAAATCCTGCTGAGGAGATAAAAGCATTATTGTAGATCTATGATCAAAAGATGCCTTCATACATGTTAAAACAGAGGGTTCACTTAAGGATGCAAGTAGTAGTAAAAGTCTAGAACATAAAGGCCTGATTAGTGTGGTGCATTTCTTATCTGACACACTGCCTGAAATGCTCATATGCTGATCTAATACATTTGAGAAAAGGCAAATGGAGCAGAGTTGGTGATCTTCGGTAGATTTATTGCACATGACGCAAAGAGGAACCTAGAACAAACCCAGCTGGTCTCGAGGTCAACTGAAGATGTCACAGAGAGCATCAACCAAGTCTGATCACCACCTGATTCTGGCTTCCTGTCATGAGCTGCGATCATCCTCACAGGCTTTTGTTTACATTCAAACCTCGTACAGTCTTTGTTTTCGGTACATCTTGTGATCTAAACGTTGTGGCCAGCACACTGTCTCCAACCAAGCATAGTGACGCATGGAGTGCTGACAGAACGTCCTTATAAAATCTTCTTTTGACGCTTCACATAACCGACCATCTGTTTTGTGAGTCACAACACGGGCTGATCCATAAGAACTCTTCCTATATGCATCTGTCATCAGTGCATTGTATTAGTATGGCTTTCAGTCTTCTAAATAATTCCCATCACTCCAGTTTTGCTCCTATGATTGTACATTTCATCATATGTAGTCATTAGATGTAGACACATAGTTAGAATGACCTGCTTGGGCATGCATTTGATTATCATTTCTGACATCGGCATTAGAAAACATGTTAAAAAAACTGCCCAGTTCTGGAAAAAGATTCTTCAGACGGATGAAGACGAACTTGTATGAAAAGGAGGGGAACAGCTCATGATCTAAAGCAGACCATGTCCTCGGTCTGACATGAGGGAAGCAGTGTTATGGTATGTGCATGTATGGCTGCCAACAGAACTGGGTCACTGGTGTTGTTTTGATGATGTGACTGCTGACAAAAGTAGCAGAAAGAACTCTGGAGTGTATAGAGCTTTACCTCATGCTCAGATTCAGTCGAATGCTGCAAACCTGATGGGATGGTGCTTCACGGTACATATGGATAATGAGCCAAAACATATAGTGAAGGCAACCCAAAAGCTCCTTAAAGCAAATGGAATGGAATGTTCTTAAATCCTGTAGTTGGTCGCCTGACCTCAAGCCAAGCAGCAACTAAAGACCGTACAGAACTGGAAAAGCATCCAAAGGGAGGAAACTCAGCATTTGGTTTTGTCAACGAGACTTTACAATTACGTTTGTTTGTTCCATTACTTTTGAGCTTGTAAGAGTGGAAGGACGACATTAAAAAAGGACGTAAATCTTAAACTGTTAAACCATTTCAGCTGAAACTCTACACTGTAGTCACATCTTGAGTGCTTCATTTAAAATCGTCGTGTACAGCGTTTAAACTGCAAAAACTGTGTCACTGTGCGAATCCTTATGGATCTGACTCCGTTATTTTTCCCAAAGTTATTGACCGCACAGAGAATTACATCATAGCGTCTCTACTAACTGGTCAAAGTTCGACCTCCTGCATCTCTTTGCCCTCTCCTCTTGTTTGCACGTCTCCTGCTGCGTCTGGACATTGAACCTCCCAGACAGCACCTTCTACAAACAAACTGCTGAGCTCATCCAGTGGAGATATTTGTCTCCACATCTGTTTGCTTCCATCTGTGAGCCTCTCTTATCAGCCTTTTGATTGAGTGTGTTTCTTCCCACCCTCAGCCCAGCGTGTGACATCGGCAAACAGCCTGTTTTGGATCGCAGCAGGGGGCTGCCGATTTGTCCGTGCTGTAGTCCGCTGTGGACACTGACTTGTCGGTGGCGATGTCCCATAACAGCTCCTCCCTCTTGCGGGCGATCCTCTCCGCCACCGCCTGGTATTCAGGTGTCTCGGCCTGCAGAGGCGTTTCCTCTGCTTCGTCACGCTCCAGGTCGAATATCAGCGGCAGGTCGTGGAGCTGCTGCCTTCCTGTTCCACCACCACATGCCTCTGCTGCACCTGTGAGGAAGCAAAGATGCGTGCATTAGTATTGTTTTCTTTACACTTCTGCCCTTCCCACACTAACATGAAAGGAGTTAGGTTAGCTGTGATTTCTGAAGATACATGTTGGATACTGCAAAAAGAAAGATGGAATTTGTGTGTAAACAGGCTGTGTCTATTATCATTTTGTATTCAACTGTAAAATGAATTCACTGCTAAACCACTAATGACTTAAAAGCATTCATAAAATGTAATTAGGTACAAAGTCATGATGTGACACTGTAAGAATGTAGCTGCTATTTTAGCATCATATCCAAAAATATGTCTGCAGACAAACAGCACAGACTAGTACCACTGTGCTGCTATTATATATACACACTCCACCATAGTGGCAGGACATTCCCAGCAGTACTGCGAGAGAAGTTAGTTTTGTCAAACAGTTCTATTTACAGTAATCTATAATATGTCTGTCTGTAGCGTGATTTCTTGTGGACCGTGGATACACATGACCTGTATTCGACCTGTACCTGTGATGTAGAAAGCTTTGTGTCTCCCAGTGCGAACTGTCTGCAAGTCACCAAATCTGCCTGCAGCACCGCTGTTAGGATGGAAGAGAAACTACAAGAAAGAAGAGTGTAAAACATACTCAGCTTAGCTGATAATTCCACTGACAACTCTAGGAATAACTTAAAGCTCCATTTAAAACTACAAGTGGGATTTTTGTTTACCTCATGACCCGTCTGTTCAGGATGCAGGAGGATGTTTGTGGCATCAATGCCATCATAGCGCCGGTCTGAGGGGGGAGTGAGCCCTGCCAGAGACAGAAGGGTTGGGAAGATGTCCATACCACTGCAAGAGGAGGAAGGTTACTGGTTTTAGTCATTAGCAGGGTTAGATACAGTCCTTAAGTTCTCCTTGGATTTATATGGATACATAAAGCAGCCACATGAACTGTAAGATGTATGCTATCTACTGATGATAAAATGTATGTACAGAACTGTAAGAGGAATGTAAAAGTCATCTGTGAAAACTGGTGAACTGTGTGTACCTGAGCAGGGCAGAGCTGGTCATGTTTGCAGGAATCCTTCCAGGCCAATAAGCCACCGTCGGCACCCTGTGACCTCCCTCCCAGGTGGTCCGCTTAGCTGAACCTCCACCTAACACACAGGAAAAACACGCCTTTAGAAATGCAACAGTTCAAAGCAAAAACACGTACTGAGGCTGAAGATACTGCCACATAACCAAACACAACAATTCATAAAGCATGAACATAAAGCATGGAAGAGTGCATTTGAACTGTTTTTTTTTTATACCTCTGCTGGTCTGCCATCTCCCTGTAAAAGGTCCTACACTCCCTGCATACTGGCACTTCTGTTCCCAAGGACCATTGTCACCTAGATACAGAGTGTTAAAGGTTTGTCAGGGCAGCACATGCTGGTACTCTGGAAGTGCAGGCATATTAACTCCAGCTGACTAACCGGTGAACCAGATGAGAGTGTTGTCTTTGTCTGTGTCATCAGATGTAATCTTCACCGCCTCGACCAGACTGTCTAGCTCTCGCAGACTGGCAGCGTACACTCCATCAGTGGTGGTTGTGGTAGGGGCATCTGGAGGGCGCGGAGGGGCCAAGGGGACGTGCATGTGAGCCAGTGCAATGTAGAGGAAATAGGGCTGACCTCGCTCTCTGGAGAGACATGAAATAACTGTGTCAGAAAGCACATGCTGAGAAATGCTGCTTTGAAAAATGTGCTCACAATTTTAGATTTTTCAGTAACGGGACATTAATAAAATCATTTATCCTTGAAAGACACACCTACATGAAAAATATCTGCATTAATTATACCTGAGCTTTTCCTGTTAATGGATTAGAATGTCTGCACTGACATCATCTATTATGGTGCAATTCACTTAAAGCTGCAAATACCACAAATACCCAGCTTCTCGTCATTAGTACCACATGTCCGCTCATGGTGAAATCAAAGCAAAAACATGTCCGACAACATTTAAAACACCATAAAGTCTGTTCTCTGTGTAGTGACTATATATTTTGTATTTGATAGCATGCAATACCAGCATAGAAAATTCATAAAATTGAACTAAAATACATGAAACTGTTGCATATTTTGATGATAGAATCATGTCATGTGATTCCAGCCACAGAGAATCAAACAGTTGTGTGCAGTGTTCGTGTTTCCTGCTTTAAAATCCATCCAGCCATTTCATTTTTCTTCAAAGGAATGTGGATTTTCCATCTGGAACGCAGCATTAGTCACTTGAAATAACCTCACTGAATGAAAGCCTGCATACTGTTGAGTGTTGTCAGCTTATGACTGATAACTGCTGCATCCGTTCACATGACCTCCTCATAGTATAGCATGAGGGCATGTTGCCTTTCACACACAGCTGCAAACAGCAGGGTTCACCGCCCTCCTCCTGTCCCTACAACACACACAAAGACACACTTTCTCTTCTGTATTACTGACAATATTCTTATCTCATGTAGGTAAATGTACAAATCTTCTGTATTCTCCGTGGAATATACGGTACAGTTAATGGGAATAAACTACTTTATTGTCACAAATTACACCAGAATCAACACAGCCTGGACACACTCAATAGAAAACTATCAGCAAAGCTTTCACAAAGGCAGACTGCACTACACTGTACTGGCAGGTAATCCTGTTATTAATACACCATCAGGAAAATACAATCACTGCAAGTCTCTGTAGGGTTTGGCCGTAAGCTGCTATTCCCAAGCTCCAAGGTTTACCAGAAACATTTGGCATTATGTTAAAAACAACTCCACTATTTCATCAAAAACCAGACGACATTATTCCGGGCGGACAGACAGACAGCTAGCTCTGGGCAGCATCTGCAGCTTCACCATTGTCACACCACCGTGTGTGTCTTTGTGTCCCTGAAGACCTACCAGGACCTGAAGAGGTTCGCCATGTTCAACGAATGGCGGTGGGCATGCCAGAGTGAACGTTTAGTGTCTTATCCCAGACGCATTCTGCAAAACTTGCTGGTTGAGTAATCCTGAAGAAACGCTCTTTCATCTTGCCTGTACTACTGTGTATCTACAGCAAAACGACAATAAACTTGATTTGATTTAATGTGTATGAGTGACTTTTCATCATTCCAAACTGCAAAGTGGGAAAAAAAAAATCATAAATTTCAGTGCGGCTAACTAACGTTAGACCAAAAATAAAGGTACTGAAAACACTGGTGGGTTGGGACTTTCCTGCTTCACTTTGCTATTGTGATAGACTGTATATAAAAGATGGACGTAACAACCACGACTTCACTCATTGGGTTGTGAAATACCATTTTGATGCCTTGAATCTGGCATTCAGCTGTCGTCATCTTGGTTTTTGGATTCTGGTTGTAACGAGTGAGGGTGGATCTGACACTTTGCATGGCAATATGGTGGCAACTTGGCAATCACACAACCCTGAAAACACACCCTGCTTTACTGTCTATTTTACTCTAAATGTAGTAGCATTAAGAAAGTCTTGAAACTACCGACTGAGACCATTAAGGCGGCTGTGGCTCAGGTGGTAGAGCGGGTTGTCCACTGATGGCAAGGTTGGCGGTTCGATCCCCGGTTCCCCCCACATGCCGAAGTGTCCTTGGGCAAGACACTGAACCCCAAATGGCTCCCAATGGTAGATTAGCGCCTTGCATGGCAGCTCTGTCGCCATTGGTGTATGAATGCGTGTGAATGGGTGAATGAGAAACATTGTAAAGCGCTTTGAGTGCCGCAAAGGTAGAAAAGCGCTATATAAGTGCAGACCATTTACCATTTACCATTTAAGTCATGAGGAAAATGTTTAGGGTTATTTTCTCATAGACTTCTATACTAAAGAAGTATACGCAACAGTAGAAACATTGCAGGTTTCAGGCATTTCTTTATTGGCTTCACTATTGAGACCCAGAGCCGGCATCTTTAATATGCAGTCCAAAGGTACTACCCACAAGCTTGAAAAGCTGCCAAAAAAACAGTCCCAACCAAAGTAGTACCCATAAATGCCTCATGGATGTCACAACAAACTACAACTAGACTGAGTGATGACTAATTTTAGTAGAGCTCTATAGTGAAATAAGAGAAAGTTTACGTCGCCAACTTCCTACAACCACAGACTACTCATCCTGCTCAAACAGCTCACAAATCTTGGGGCCTCAGGAGAGAAGTCTGCTGTTGGATTCATGTTGATTTACTTGATTTTAACACTGTCTTGTGGTATGCAAGATAATGAAGAACAAACATCACGTTCACATCAAATTTCAGTTCTCAGGTTTCACCCTCATAAACACTGTCTGTGGATACAACCAGAGACACATTTAACAGACCAGATTTTCCCAGCTGCTCAATCTCTGGACAACAAACTGGAAGGAGGGCCGGTGTGGCTCAAACACACAGGTTGCACAATATCAGCTGTGCTGCTGTCCCAAAGACCGAGCACCTGGTCGTACACTGCATGTTTGCACTGCAGCAGTCTGTCAACATCCAATACGGGTAACTCCCACAGACAGCAGTTAGGTTTCAGGTTATACAAGATTGCTGCCATAATTAACAGCTGCAACATGCCCTGACTGTAACCTTGTGTTTTACATAATGACTCCTAACCTCAGTCCTCATGGCTTCACGTTACTCCATATGATGCAGTGAAGGAATGGGCAAGTTTTGTCACATTATGTAAATTGTTTGGTCTACAACAACCAGCCTAATATATACTTATTTTTCATATTCTGTGTATCTGTGCAGCCATGTTGTACCTTGCATTGTGTATAATCCTGAGTGCAGCGGCTCTGTATTGTTCTGTTAGCGTCCACAGGTCAAGCGGCTGCTCCACAATGCTGCTGTTTTCAATCAGAGGAAGGCCCACCTTGGAATAACAGCCTCCATGTACACTCCTCTTCAATCTAGAGCATGAGATAAGTAGAGCATAATGACATAAAGAACGGTTTTTGGTTGTGTGAATGAGGCCATGAGGTGGCGGCAGGGTTTGGAATTAGTGTGGGCGATTTATGGAGGTAGGGCGTGCCCTGATCAGACTGGATTGGCAGTTGGTACAATTGACGTTACACACAGTTGTAGCTCTTGTGATCTAAGACAGGTAGCAGAGATTTGTTTGTTTGGTTAATCATACATCGGTTATGACTTCTCAAACACAAGTGTTGAAATCAGCAACACGGTGTCTTTCAGTTTCTTTTAAAATATCAACAATGCAACATATTAATGGAATATGAAAATTTTAGTCATCCACTTAAAATAGCATCCATTTACATGACTTTCAAACATTAATTTTGTATTTCTATAAAAAAACAAAGTGATCACCTGATCCCTTGAGGTCCAGATGGGTCACAGGGGACACACTGGGGCAGATTGTATCCTGGCATGTCGGTACAGCCCATATCATTGCTGTAGGGAATACCTAAATAGTAGTCAAAGCCTGTTCAAGAGACAAGGAGAACTTTACTAGTATTTAAAGTTCTGTGGTTGGTACACACTTACAGGTGTGAAGTAAAAGCTGATCAGATATGAAGACGTTTACTTCTGCCATCCCTTAATCTCAGCAACAACTAAATAGTCTTCCAGCTTTACAAGCGACAATGGCTACACTTCAACTGAAGAACCAATCGTCATCTAGCTCAAACTTTGTATAATCCTGCCCCCTCACTGCTCACTGCTTGAACTATTCAGAAAGAGCAGCCACCTCACAGTCCTTCAGGTTTATTTTCTTTCTAGAGCTCCTTCTGCTAAAAATGTCTCTGCCACGAGCAAAGCTTTCTAAAGGTTTGGCTACAAGAGTGAACAAAGGAGTCTTCATGCACTCCCAGCATCTGAGGAAACAAGGATCCAGTAGATAAATGTTATTATTGACAGCAATGTCAACACAACAAAAGGAAAATAATTAGTGTTAGCATGCTGTCCGGCTAATGTGGCTAACGCTACTATTAGCTTTGTTTAGAAGTCTTTGCAAATTGTAAAGCTGAGGGTCATTTAAAGATGGTGGAAACTTTAAGACTGATTTCAAACCAATAAACAGGAACAGTGTGGGTTCCTGTGCTTTCACATTGCCTGTCATGCTTTAGTTCAACCTGTGATCAGCTGGTGTTTGCATCTGTTTGCTTCTCTCCTGCTCTCTGTGCTCACATGTACTGTATTTAATACAGTATATGTGAGCACAGTAATAAAAAAACAGGAGTTATACAGTCATGTTGAAATTAACCATGTTTGAGCTGAGAAAATTGCGTGCAGTAACCCTCTAACACTGAGGCTGTGGACAAAGATATCAAGGCTTTCATCTCTGCACCAGTCTCTGTACTTCCCTTTCGCTGCGTATTGACCAAATATTTCCTGGGCAAAAAGCCGAGTATAGAACACTGGAGAGAAGCTCGGTCAATCAGGAAGGTTCTACAATGGCTAAAAGATGCTGACATGCAGGATTTGGGGGAGTGTTAGTGGTAGTTGGGGGGGTGGATATTGAGTCAGGTGCAAGTGCGTCACCCACAAGACACAGCTGGTTTAGGATTAGTGTCTCTGTTTAGTCTGTTCCCTGCAGCGAACTGATGGACTCACTCACTCAGCTCGACGTGGCTGCAAAGGCCTAGAAAGTCTGGCTGACACTGTAACACTGAACTGGGACATACAGGATGATGCACCAGGAAAGTGCGTTTGCTGTTTTGTGTGGCATATGGAAATGCAATTACATAATGCTTCAAATCATTCAACTGGTAGATAAACTTCTGTATGCTTGTCTCAGTAATTCACCTGTTACCAAAAGTGCTGCAATCATTCAGCAAATCGTTGAAACTGGACTGTAACCTTTTAGTAACTTTACATTTGGATGCATATATATTATCAAAATGCTCTTTATTTTATCTTACTCTTTTATGAACCCACTGACCTCTGTTAGTCGGACTGTATGGTCCATTGTGTCCCAGGTGCCACTTCCCGATCATGGCGGTGTAATATCCTGCCTTCTGTAGTAGCTCAGGCAACGTTACTTCAGACAGAGGCAGACCGGCTACAGAGTTCACCGCAAAGTTATGAGTCACACCGTTTCTTAGACCGTAGCGACCTGTCAGGATCGCAGCGCGGGATGGAGAGCACGTTGAGGCTGGAGAGTGGAAGTCTGTGAATCTGAAACAAAAAAACAAGAATTTCAGACAAAAAACTACCAAAAAAAAAGTTCATTTTGAAAACAGTTTACTGTTGCTTTACATTTTTGTCCTGTTTTAATTAAAGATAATACTAAAATCACAGAAATAAAGTGTTCATTTACACATTAAGTGTAACCAAAAAAAACACCCACATCAAAAACATGCATTTTTAGAAATGACAATTTGTTCATTTACAACTTGGAATTATACCATTTTTTTCCTCAAACGAAATCAGCACAAAATATTTGGTTATTTTACAAACATCTGCTATTATTTGAAAGAAAAATAAGGCATATTAAAACTTTAATATTTGTAAACAAAAAAATAAACTCTTATTTTACAGATTTTACCAGTATAGATAATATCAAGTAAAATCCCAGATGTATTAATTTACAAAGTATTATTGTATTTAAATTAGCTAAAAATATCATTTAACAGATATTTCCTTTTTTTGTTTGTTTATTTTTTAAACAAATTTAACCAGTTTTTGAATATTTCAGTATTGCCCCATTTTTAACATATTTCTTCTGGCACTCCTGCTGCCAGACTGTCACTGTCGTCGTATGAATGCTTTGTGTACCTCAGTCCTTGCTGTGCCATCAGGTTGAGGTAAGGTGTGTTGTTGGCTTTCTCTTCAGCCTGGTTAGCATCCAGGTCGCCCCAGCCGATATCATCTGCCAGTACGATGATGAAATTGGGCTTCTTACTATGAATCTTGGCTCCACGTTGGGACACCGTGTGGAACAGCAGCCCACACAGCAACGCCCCAGACACAAGCAGCTGGGTCAGGCCCACCGCCATTTTGGGTCAAAATCTGAAAAAGAGTAACACAGGTTTCACTCAAAGTTTGACTCGTACATGCTATTATTTAAACCTTTATGGTGTTTAAACCATAAACCGAGATCCAAATCCATACTGACAAAATTAAGATAGCAGCAAACAGTGTAATACAGGAAATAAGGACAGCTAGATGTCCCGCCTTAACCCAGTTCCACCAAAAAACCTTGTTTCTTGTGTGCACGTAAACATAGAAAGAGTGATAAAAATCAGATGCCAGTGACTCACTACTGTCCGTTTGTTTCATCGCACCTGTATTTCCTGCTATACTTGTATATCTCCAAGACACAAGGACTAATGTAGAGCAAAATGTCCTGAGAAGGACACATGTCTGCAGGGAAAGCTGATATTTCACAGGTTTAATCAAAGAGTTGAATGAAGATTTGGTCACGTCAGAAATGTTGTTGACATTTTTCAAATCTATTTTTAGGTTGTGGAGTTGTTGGCTCATTTCCACAGGGAACACCAGCCAGGAGGATCTCTGACCAATTAACATAAAATATACTCACATTTTCTGTTGGTTACGTTTATCGTGGGGTCTGAGGGTGATCTGGCAGAACATTTCTTGCATTATGGTGAATTTTTTTTCCTACCAGTTTTCTTCTTTCTCAGCATTGATCTGTGTTGATGAGTCTATGGAACGTTATGGCAGGTTTCCTCTATTTTTTTAATTTTTAAACTAGGTGGAGATGTATCCCCTGTGCCGCCACCAAAATCTATCTATATCAAATAGAACGTTTTTTTTAAAAATTATTTTATTTGATGTATTTAAATATTAGTTTTTCATGCGGTACAGCCTGAAGCCACACACAAACTCTTTTGCTCACTTTCTAAAACATCAAAAAATGTTTGGGCCCAACAAAAAAAATCTT